GAGAGGATGGGGTTTGTGGGTGGGGGTGCGGGTTTGGAGGAGAGGATGGGGTTTGTGGGTGGGGGTGCGGGTTTGGAGGAGAGGATGGGGTTTGTGGGTGGGGGTGCGGGTTTGGAGGAGAGGATGGGGTTTGTGGGTGGGTGAGCGCGTTTGGGGAGGGGTTGGGTTTGTGGGTGGGGGTGCGGGTTTGGAGGAGAGGGTGGGGTTTGTGGGTGGGTGTGCATGTTTGGGGAGGGATGGGGTTTGTGGGTGGGGGTGCAGGTTTGGAGGAGGGGGTAGGTGCTGTTAGGAATAGCTCACTCTGGGGTATCTTTAATCTCAGGGCCTGGCCATTCAGCTCACAACCCGGGGTCACACCCACAAACAAAAACACATGGATTTTCGGGGAAAACTTTACCCTTCTCCCTCAGCTGCTCATCCCCCCCACCGAGGAATGTTCTGCAGGAACTATCTCGCTTGCTGTCTCTCTCCTCCTGTCTCCCCCTCAGCGCCCCCCTCCCCCTCTCGCTCACTCTCTTGCTTGCTCACTCTCTTGCTCGCTCACTCTCACTTGCTCTCTCTCTCGCGCGCTCATGCTCTCTCTCGTGCTTGCGCTCTCTCTCTCTCTCGCACACTCTCACTCACTCACTCTGGCATTCTCTTTGACAGTGTTTTTCCCTCTCTGTCTTTCTGTAGGAACTCTCTGAAACTGTCTTCCTTTCTCTCTATCTCTGACACTCTCTCCCTCTCTCGCTCTGCAGGAACAGAACCAGTTGATCTGGAATATTAAAGACGAGTTGAAGAAGTGTTGTTCTACCAATGATCTCCGAGAGCTTTTAATCGCCAACAAGCAAGAGGTGGCATCGGGAGAGGCGGCTGTAAGTGACTTCTGTCCTCCTTCTGTGTCTCTGTCAGACAAGGGGCTATCAGCCCAATGGCTGGTGAGAATCTGGACCCTGTCCTCAGCCCAGTCGGTGGGTCTGAGACTGAGATCAATCCAGTTTGAATGTGACTTACTGTCAACTTCACATTGATGGCTGGGCTCGGTTCTACAGTCAGAGAGATTTAACATCACAGAAAGTGGCCCTTCAGCCCATCATGTCCACCCCAACCACCAAACATCCATCTATCCTGTTTCCTGAGGAAGGGTCACTGGACCCAAAACGTTAACTCTGATTTTTCTTCACCGATGCTGTCAGACCTGCTGAGCTTTACCAGCAACTTCTGTCTTTGTTTCTGATTTACAGCATCCACAACAGCATTCCTGTTCTTTTGGTTTTTAACATCAATGGTGAATCTCCTTTGTCCTTCCAATAGTACAGTGACCAGAACTGCACACAGTACTGCAGCTGTGCCTTAACTAATGCTATATAAAACTGCAACATAACCTCCTTCCTCATGTATGCAATGTATTGATGAATAAAGACAGTTATCCCACGCACCTTCCTAACCACCTTGTCCACCTGTCCTGCTGCATTCAAGGATCTATGGACTTGCACAACAAGATCCCTCTGATCCTCTGTACTTCCTAGGGTCCCACCATTCATACGTTTTCCTTTGCCACGTTGGTTTTCCCAAAATGTGTCACTTCTCACTTTTTAGGATTAAATTCCATTTGTCACTGTTCAGACCATCTGACCAGCCTGCCTATGCTGTCCTGTAGTCTAAGGTTTTCCTCCTAACTGCTTACCACACCACAAATTTTAGTGCTATTTCTGAATTTACTGATCATTCCTTTTATATTCATGTCTAGATCATTAATGTACACAACAAGCAGGAAGGGACCTAGCTGTGAATCATGAGGTACATCCCTGGCCACAAGCTTTCAGACACACACACAAGCACAGACACACACACAAGCACAGACACACACACA